AAAAAAAAATCTATAAATAATTTCATTTCTTAAATCAAGAAATTGTTCTAGTAAAATCTTGTATATCTTGCCCACTCCGATAAAAGCATACTTGAAATTTTTTTTCAAAATCTTAATCTTTGAACTACAATCTATGGCTTCTATCGAATACAAAATTTGTGAACAAGTCTGTTGGTACCAGATATTATTTGTGTTTTTTTTATGACAACTGCATTTTCCACTACTTACCTGTCAGCTGATGATAACTCACTGAAATAAATATGGCATTGTTTCTGTATGTTGTCAGTAGACTGCATCAGTGGGGGGGGGGGAACAACCTCTGAAAATGAAATGGTCCCCGATTGCGTTGCAGTGAGTTGCCTGTGGTCACAGAAATGTGAGAATCCAAGTAACAAATGTGCCGTTTGAACGTTAACCTTGGGGTCACACAGACTACTCATGTTATGCGTGCAACCCTCATAATTATCAAGTGTTTCTGCTTTTCCATCAAACATTGTTTTGATTGAATTGAGCTTTTCTTACAAGTATGTGTCATCATTGAGAGAGCACTTTGCTCTGTCTTTTAATCGTCAACTTTTGGTAATACTTATGTTCGACTGATTAGCACAAAAAAAATTTATTCTAAGGCGCGGGGAAAAAAACTTTATTATTTATTGTAAGAATATGTTGACCCACCGGTTCGTTAATGGAACAGTTGGTGAACTGACCCAACATTGGGGACTATCCTTTATATCTCTCTCCTGTTTGCTGGTCAAGATCTTGTTGGCTATTTGACACACTTAACAATGATGGTAAAGACAGATTTTACTGTCAGATAATTTACTGTAAGACTGTTTGACTTGGTCAGAAAGACTCTATAACGGAAAGCTTTTTCTTTTGTTTTGCCTTTCTTCAGAACTCTTTCAATTATGGGTGCCTGTTCTTTGTTACTAATCAAGTCTTGTTACAAGTTTTTACAAATAGTTTCAAATTATTTTATTTGACTTGTGTTGCTTATTTAACTTGACCAGAAATGATGAAGATGTTCTTTACTTGTAACATTCAACTTGTCATTATTGGTATAAAATTATAAATATTGTAAAGGTCTTTTTGTTGGAGTTAATTTATATGTTTAAATATTAGTTCAGATTTGAAGAAGTTTGCAAAAAGATATCTCATAATGGTTAAATGTTAACTGCCATGTGGTCAGGCTGTCTGCCTCTACTTAGAGGTAGGATGCTCAAATTTTGTCCAAAGCTAATACTACTACTACTACTACTACTACTAGTAAGCCAGATAATTTTGAGGAAGATTTGAGAACAATTCATGCCTGACCAAATTTGTATGACAGCAACCAAATTAGCCTAAGTCTAAGTTTTTTTTTTAAATTGGCCAAGCAAAATTTTTTATTCCACTTAACAGTTACAGAATAAATTGTTTATGTTACCAGCATGAAAGATGAGGATCCGATTCATTTTTCCATATTTCTTACCTGCTACACTTGGGGATGAAACATTCCATTGGTTAGGAAGTAGTTTTCAAGTAGAATCAAATGATCCTAACATAATAGTAGTAAGTAGTAGTCTGGGTGTTCACATCTGAATGGCTGACTTATTTTTTTTGTCCTTAATACATTATAATTATACACATTTTAAAATATTTTTTTTGTTTCTGATTTATTTCATCAGAGTTGTAAAAGAAACATGTTGGAACACAGTTCTCTCACCAGATGTTATTGAAAGCATATATAAAATATAGAAGGTTTCACATTCAATTTAAATAAAATTCATCATTTCCAAAAGCATTATTTAATATTACACAATATTAAAATGTCTCCATAACATGCAGGCCATTTATTTAGTTTCTTTTCCATCAACTGTCACTTTATGCAGCTAATGGTACCCACAACCATAAACTGTCACACTTAGCTGATTTCTTTAACTGATTTGGTTACATTTAGAGCTGAACTTATTTGGTTACATTTTTAGCTACACTGACCTGGTTACATATATGGCTAAACTTATTTGGTTACATTTACAGCTAAACTTATTTGGTTACATTTATAGCTAAACTGATTAGGTTACATTTTTAGCTTAACTGATCTGGTTACATATATGGCTAAATTGATTTTTTTTACATTTAAAGCTAAACTTATTTGCTTACATTTATAGCTAAACTAATTTGGCTACATTTATAGATTAACTGATTTGGTTACATTTATGGCTAAACTGATTTGGCTACATTAACTATTAATCAAGCAACTAAAAAAATTGAACAACTATATTTTTTTAAAATATGGTTCTACATAGCTCTTTGGAATGGTCTAGTCTTCACTTTATTTCCAATCAAAAAAATACAGCATTCACAAACATTAAATAAATCTACACATCATTTTTAAAATATCACAAAAGCATATCACCAATCTGCAATTCTAAAAAATAAAATATTTTGGCAAGCTACCATTACTGGTCCTTACTGTCCTCATGCGCACACAAGTTTAGAACTAGCAACAATAAGTTTTAAATATAAATATCCAAAATCAATTATCATAAATACAAGAAGAGCTTTCGATAAATATTCCTTTTACATCAAAAGATGTCGAGGAAAAATGTAAATGTTACAAACTGTAAAAATATAAATAAATACAACATTGTTCAATTTACAATACCAAGTGACTGCAAAGTTACTAAAAAATAAAAATCACCACAAATTCTCATTGAACTTCAGTACCCCAATTCTCATGTAACCTCAGTACCATACTCAAACACTATACTATATGAAAGTAAAGGGTAAAAATTGAAAGGCCATAAGATCTTAAAAGTTGAGAAGAAATATACCCTAACATAGAGCATGGTCATTACTGCCCTGCCTGACCAACAAAGAGCAACTACAGTATTTGATTCACATCTGATCACAAAACTGTTCACATTGTTCTAAATAAATAAAATGAAAATAAGTTCACATGATACTGTTGTTTCAAATACTCCAACAAAAAAATGTTTGCGATCTCATTTTTCAGATCATTATTTCAGGTCTTGTAAAAATTTTAAAATACATCTTAAAAACATTAAATGTAGATTCTATATAATCATGAAAGAGCTTCGGATTCAAGTTTTTGATTATGCTGGTCAAGGTCACAAGCTAACTTTTTATGGACAAAAAAATGTTATACTCATCAATACAACAGGATGGCATTCCTTGAGTTACAGTTAAGATTCACAGGATGGCATTCCTTGAGTTACAGTTAAGATACACAGGATGGCATTCCTTGAGTTACAGTTAAGATACACAGGATGGCATTCCTTGAGTTACAGTTAAGATACACAGGATGGCATTCCTTGAGTTACAGTTAAGATACACAGGATGGCATTCCTTGAGTTACAGTTAAGATACACAGGATGGCATTCCTTGAGTTACAGTTAAGATACACCTGATGGCTGAACCTTTGTACATGTACCAATGCCAAAACCTTTACTGATTGTCAGAGCAATTAGGAGGATCAGGACTAATCCCAACAATGGAACATGACTAACCTTACCAAAGTATCATGACTAATCTCACCAAACTATGGATCATGACTAATCTCACCAAACTATGGATCATGACTAATCTCACCAAACTATGGATATGACTAATCTCACCAAACTATGGATCATGACTAATCTCACCAAACTATGGATCATGACTAATCTCACCAAACTATGGATCATGAATAATCTCACCAAAGTAACATTAATATAAATTGGGATCTGTCCACCAAAATCCATTACTGTGTCTACAAATATATGCAGAAGTCAACGACTGGTTTCCAGGCTCATTGTTCGATTACATTGTATGTATACTTTTTAGATTCAGATTGATTGAATATGATTACATTATATGTTTACTTATTAGATTCAGATTGATTGAATATTAAATTACAAAAGAAAAATTGTGCACAAAAGGGGTATACAAAAGTAAGCGAACCAGTAGCGCACGCACATTGACAACTTTCTAACACAAGGCCAGGCAAGAACAATTGCACAACAAATGGACAAGCCCTTCAAATATTGAATGCAATAGCAAAGTCATGGCCAAGTTTACTGCATTTGCACCAGTATTTCTTCTGGATATGACACAACTGGCAAAGGACATCTTTAAAAGGCAGTTTGGCAGAAAGGTTGAATTCTGGATTTTGAAAACACTTATGTCATGATGAACAGCGAGGAGAATGGGTGGTCATGGTCATGTGTCATCAGTGAGAAGAATGGATGGTCATGATCATGTTTTGAAAAGACCTAACGTAGAAGGATGATACCGGTATGTGTTGTTGCTATGGGAGTAGAAGGATGATATATGTTGTTGCTATGGGAGTAGAAGGATGATATGTGCGGTTGCTATGGGAGTAGAAGGATGATATGTGTTGCTATGGAAGGATGATATGTGTTGTTGCTATAAGAGCAGAAGGATGCTATGTGTTGTTGCTATGGAAGTAGGATGATATGTGTTGTTGCTATGGATGATATGTGTTACCATGGTTTAGAAAAGTATATCTTCCCAATTTTTAATAAGCTCGCTGAAAAACAAAATTAACCATTAAAATTTAAAAACATAATTTTCAAATATTAACATATATCAAATATAATCAATGGGACGCAAGCCCTTCCTTGAGTGAGATTGAGTCTCTATTGAAGCATGTTCACATTTCACAACACACAAGGGTGTGCCTCAAAGTGACAGCACACCAGAATGTGTATTTATAAATTATGTCTTTACAATCTAAACATTAATCTTAACACACATATTCCCAATGCATTCTTCCGTCGTCATTTTATCAGAAAGCTTTTCTCAATTACTACTTTCTTATACGACACTAATTTCTTATGAAACATTACTTTCTTATACATCACTACTTTCTTATAAAACAATGCCTTATCTTCACTTTTGTTGAATAAAACAGCACTTAGTTTATTCATTAAGTCTTTACTGGCAACTGTTGTTTGAATTTATGCAGATTAAAAATTTTTTAAAAATGGTTTGATGCCATTCTATGTTTGTACACTTCCATTCAAATACACGCATAGGAAGTTCATTGGTAGATTTATAAAAAAAAACCTGTCCATTTATTTCTATAAATTTTATTATTAAAAATTGCACATCTTTAGGCTCGGTAAAATAAGTTTTTTTTAAGTTGACAAAAGATTAAATGACAACTTTATAGTTCCATTTTAAAAAAAGCAACGACCAGTAGTCAAAACTTATTCAGTTTTTTTAGCCACATGGAGAAATATTGAGATGGACAGGAAGCTGCATAAGTAAACATTGTGACTATCATCATTCCAAATGGGAGATATTTACTTCACAGCCTATACTTATACTTGACTTATACTTATGAGGTCGCTAGCTGCTCTGGCTTAATTAAGAGTTTCTCTAGAACACTCAGGACGAGATCCGCATCCTCTTGGCTGTTCTGTCTTATTTCTATCACCTCCCACAATCTTCCTTCTAACGCTGTCCGCAGCTTTTCAGGCAGGTTGCTAGACAAATCTGTGACATTTATCAAGAAATGAATTTTTAAGTTTAAGTAAAATGTAACAATAGTAATATGTAAAATGTAACACATAACATGCAACAATAAGTGAATACAAAAATATATATAAGTAACTAGCATTTTATGCTTAAAAGTTAATATAGAATCAAAGACAACTACAGTATGAAATGTTGATGGAATGAGACAGTGTTCTCTGAATATTAAACAAAAATATTACACTAAGAACTTTACTTTAACATTATGAATAATTACTTTTAAATGCAATAACACAAATAAAGATCTTTTTTAAATTTAAATAACAGGGCTATTTTTGTAATAAAATTTGATGTCTGTCTGCTACAGTTTCAATATAAGTATAAGCAGCAATAAAAATGGGAGATTCACAACACGACATACCATTAGTGTATGTGCCGTCCCTGACCACAAAAAGCACAGGGACATTTTCTAGATCCCTCTCTTGTAGAAGTTGTTTTATGTTGTTCTGCTCTCTTTCCAGTAGAAAATTCTCTCCCCTTGTGCCCAGCAGATAAATAACGCCTGAAAATACGAAGGAAGTGATGGGGTTAAAATCCATGTGTGATAAAAAAAAATGTAATTAGGATTTTGTTTAACATTGAATGTTTCTTATTCCACTGTCATTTAGTGTCATTCAAAAAGGTTTAGGTAATTTTTTTTCTTCAAAACTTCTCATAACCCAGTAGCGGTCAGTAGCACCTATTTTGCGTCCTCCCTAATTCCCAGCTGCGCTGGCCTCCTTTTAAGCAGCATATAATGGATGGCACTCATTAAGGGTAGCCAGCTACGAAATTAAATAGCATTCATCTGCTAAAATATACTGCAGCTCTTGGGAGGTTGACTCCAATTTTTTTCAAGATGTCTGTATTTTTTGTATCTTCTTCATTAAAAACAAGGCTTCTCAAACTTATTCAAAGTTGACTAAACTAGCAAGTTTAGATGATAAAACAGGCTAAAAAGATCTGTTATTTGGAAGTAAGGTAGCATGACATTTGAAAGATTTTGATCAGTTGTGGGATATCTCCATGTGGAATAGTGACTCTGGCTTTTCTGGATTGCCTTTGGTGTTCTGAAGCAGCTGTTCTAATGGTTTTGTGTTGCATGATTCTACGTTAATGCGGAACACTTCCAATGAGGATATCAGTATTAGGGTGTTATGAAGCATTTCTTCTTACCACCTGCATGCTGATTGCAATGCTCATACCTGCCGTAACGGCAAATGCAGCAATGGTGAGAAACAGACAAAGGTGTGTGTGAGCTTGGGGGAGGGCGCAAGGCTAGGATACAGGCAGTAATTATTACTGTGGCTGCGTAAAATATTACATTAGCCACATCAACTTAAATACCATTTGTTCCGTCTAAGAATGGACGCAGTCTGTATCCAATATTCCCAGCAAGGTCGTAGACCAGATACTTTTGGCCCGACGGTGATATGATTGTATCAACATTGAAATGGCTCGTTGGCTCAATGGACATTATGTAATCAACTCCAAACTTCCAAGAGTAGAGAAGAAACGTTTTGCCTGGAAATAAGGGAAGAATGGCTCTGTATCAATAACATAAATTTATCACATATAAAAAAATTGCATTTTAAAGTTGCAGATAATTGCCAATAATTGTAGACAGTGTGAGTGATCCACTGTGTGTGTGTGCATATGATTAGTTAATAGTTGTAGTGTAGACAATGGATGTGATCAACTCTGGGTGTGCATATGGTTAGCTAATAGTTGTAGACAATGGATGTGATCAACTCTTGGTGTGCATATGGATATTTTAAATGCTTACTTAATACCATATGAAAAGCAGACAAAACTTGCAAGAGGAGTTTCATGACCTGGCTGGCTTCCAGAAGAAGCGGACATCTTGGCTCCTATATTCTTTTGCTGTGCACAATTTCATGTTTTAAGTATCAAGAAATTTCTAGGGTAATATGATTGATTAAATTTAAAGCTATGTTACCTGGAGGTACCTCCTCAGTAACAGTTTATGATCACTTAAATACATTCAATATTAAGTTGTTTTTTTTTTAGTTGCAAAATTAATTTTTTTTTAGTTGCAAAGTTTTTTTTACCTGCATTTTGCCTGCCAATTAATAGTATTTTAACTGGTAGTGGCACAGTGCGTGATGAAAACGCTGTCATTCCAGATGCACATGCTGCACCCATCTGGTGTTGTTTTGGCGTCTATGATTTTGTTAAATTCATCGCATCTATTGAATAACAAAATGAAAATAGTCCTAAGAATTTTATAAGGTATTAAGGTATTAGAATCATTGAGAATATAGCCATATAGTCATAGTCTTGAGATGGTTGCAGTAAGATTACATTAAAGACAACACATGTGTAGGCAACACTCTAGTCTTATAGTAAGTTATAGTTAAGGTAATATTTTAGAAAATTTTCAACTCAGCTTATTATAAATAATGGCTAATTAAAATAAGATAATCTAATAATTAGTAAATGGAGATTTCTTCTTTTTTTATTTTTAAAACTTTAGAAAAAGTTGATTTTCGCATCATTAAATTTAAATTATCATTCATGAAAAATAAAAAGTATAAAATCTACTATTAATAATTCATTCATTCATTCATGAATTATTAATGGAATTTGGGTAGTTTAATACAATTATATTACTACAACTATTAAAATATATAATTTAAATTTAAAAAATTATCTACAGTCTACATGTTATTAATTTATATTATATAATCTCACTGCACACAATGAATGACGAGAATGGGTGTAATGTACTGTAAAGCCTACGCCTACAGTCAGTCTACAAGTACAGAGTGCAGATGAATAACAAATTAAAATAAAATAATCATTAATCAATATAATAATTATTTTTTTTAAATAGGCTAATACGAATAACTATATATGTTGTGCCAAAAAATGCACACTACTAAATTACCACATGTCACGTTCAACTGTTCCGTTATCTTGCTATCACAAGAATAAATTATATTTTAATATTAGAACAACTTATTTTAGTTTACTTAATATAGATGCTAAGTGGATAGTAAAAGCAAATCAAATTCAGCCATTACACAGTTTACATTAGGAACAGAATGGGGACTGGAAAAATAAGGATATTAAAATTGAAAATTTAAATCTTATAAAAATTTCAATTTTATTTAAAATAAAGTTATACCATTAAAATTATTTTATTTAGAATAAAATAATATTAATTTTATTTATTCTTTGATTTTTAAAACCATATTTACTTGACATAATCAGGTTTTATAATCAGCTTCGGATATAAACAAACATGGCTGCTCCCAGGTCTTGTCATGAGTTTGAAATATCAGAACCTACTTATTGTAGAGTAGCAACAAATAACCTTAAATTAGGTGAATTTTCTTTTTCAAATAATAGCTTTTATTTATAAACAAACCATTTGCTTAAAAGGGGGGTTGTGTGTTGATTACTTTTTCAGCTTCATTGTTGCATTGCTCACAACTGAATGATCACGAAACACACTTCACACTCAGCACTGTGACTTAACTTAACTAGACTGTCACTTCATACTTCATCACTTAACTATTTACTTATTTAAGTTACTAATCTCCTACTCACTAGTGACTAGTCTGAGTCTTGGACCTTTTGGTGCCAAGATGTAACCCTTTTTAACTTTAAAATATCGAACTATAATATTATTTATTGGCATTGGAAACAATTGAATTTAACAACGGTTTTTATTCTTTATGAATCAAAATAATATCTCAGCATTTATACGAGATATATTAACATTGACAGATAAAAAAAAGAGTTATATTTTGAATCATCAACTGTCAACAGAGATTTATGTTCATTAACTCTCTGCAGTCTGACTATAGAGAAATGGTACATATAAGTACCATAGATTTTGTGGGTGGGTTATTTATTTTTTAACTTTTTTTTTTATTGAAAAAAATTATTTATTATATTTTAATAATTTGTTTCATTGGTTTAAGTATTTGTAAAAAAATTAAAATTATTACAAAATTTGAAATTACTATTTAAAAAAAATATTTTTGGAAACTTATTCAGCGCGGAGTATCCCTTGAAAGCTTCGCAGATTTCCAAAAAAACAAAAAATATAAGTCTCACAAAAAAAATTAAATAGTAGTATGAATATTGTCAAATGATTTTAATTTCCCGATTTATCAAGGAGTTATTTGTTTGTCTAAAGCAATGTATCCAAATGGAGACTCTAATCATGAAATTTATCACGATTTGCATATAAAAGTACCGACTAATGCTATCGTAAACAAGTAAGCTTAATTTTAATTATCATTTCCCGACTTTAAAATTAATAATAAAACAATAAAGTGATATTTTTATAATTTTAATTGGCTGAAGTATATATTATCCATTTATACTTACATTGATATATTCTATTTGAATTATATTGAGTTTCAATAATTATATAATAAATAAATAGCGTCGCTATGCGAAATAAATATTTTAAAAAAATAGCGGAAAATTTCGGTCGATTGGAACTTGCGTAATTAAATAAATTTAAAGTTAAGGACTTCTGAGTTATTAACTAAATATATTTCTTTAAAATATGTTACAGCCAAGAATAATCTTCTAAATTTTCTAATATTGCATAGTAGAAATGTGTTTAAATTTAATTATCATTATCGCTAGTCACTAGTATTAGTAGAGACTACTGTCGGCAGAATAAAAAAAAAAACATTTATGTTTTTATTAAAAGCTCTCTAACTCTATTGGGAAGGAGGAGAGAGAGACAAAAATGCAGATATTGGATCAAGAAGCCCTTATTCCTTATTGATCCTAAATATTAAGCCTGGACTCCACCCTTTTACTGAGTTACAGAGTTACTGGATGAATATCTTTGAAGATTTTACCCTAAAAACAAGTGGTGGTAAGTTTTAATCTAATCACTTGGTAGCAAAATGCATAAAGAATAAACTCACAATATTGTTATAACATATGTTATAATGTATTTTCTATGTACAATGGTTTACTTTTATACTAATTTAGGCACTTGGACTAGGATTAATGGTATTTTCCCTTACTGATAGCATACCATTACTGATACCATTAGTGTTAATTTATTTATGAATCAATCAAATTTTTTTTTTTCCACAGGTTCTTTATTGAGTGAATATTCTGTGGTGAAAAATCTTACCTAATCTTATGTAGAAATCAAGTCCAGGACAAGCTCTTATTTATCAAATATAATTATTATAATAAAACTGCAGACTGTTTTAAGAAATAATATTTGTTCAGAGTCCATAAATATAATTAAGGAATACTGTAGTTTATCAGCCTGTGTTATGTGAGGATTATAACAAAGATATATACAAATGCCGGTACATGGGAAAAAATAGATCACATTAGTGAGGAATGGATCGTATTTGACATGTATATCAAAATTAGCATTATTGTACTGATACATTTTAATTTTTGTTAACTTTAACATCAGCGAATACCGCTATTTTAAAATAAAAAAAAAAAATTGACTCTTGTTTTGAGTTATTTATATATTCATCAAATTTTAATTAGTTATCTTTTACTAAAGAATTATTAAAAAATATATTTAATATACAAATCTATAAGCTATGAGACCCATTTTTTTTAATATATTACATACAAAACATAATTTTCATTAAAAGAAAAATTAAAGTGCATTTTTTAGGAAAAAAAGACAAAATATAGGTTTTGCTAAAATGTTGACAACTTTTTGATTGTTCAAAGAATTTTTGTCATGTTTGACTATGAATTTTATAAGTTGATGAAGTATTTTATTTAAATAAATTTTAAATCTTTTATAACAAGGATTTTTTTTTTCCTTCATACTGTGTAAAGATTTGGTCAAATTTTAGCATAAAATGAAAAAAAAATAATTCTCCAATAATGTTTCAATTATTTTTATAACTAAGAAAATAAAATATACAAAAAATATCTTATGATAGCTGAGTCAAAGATGAACAAGTTAATATATTTAACTGATCAGATCAGAGCTATTTCAGATCAGTTAATTAATTATTTTAAAAAATCACATTAAGATTTTTAAGAGATGTGAAAAAAACGTCAGAGTTAAGAATAAAAAATAATTGTGTACAGACATATTTTCTTTGGTATTTATTTTGTCCAATGTCTAATGACATGCAGCCAGCAAATCAAAGACTTTCACTTTTTCAGCACAGACTCAAACAATTTTTCATCTCACTCAGACTTTGATAACTGAGTGTGATTTTTTTTAGCTGCCTTACTTACTACCTGGATAAAGAAAGAGGTCCATTGCCCCCCCCATCTGTTTTTACCCCTTCATGGGAATGACACTAAACAAAATAAAACGTCTTGGTTGAGAGGCAGACATTGTGCATATTGTGCCACAGCAAACTCAGTACATTATTTACTGAAAAAAATCATGTTATCAATGCTATTGGCATTGGAATAATAAGTCAATTTTTGTTTTAGATTACTTTTAAAAGACAAAACTTTCACTGTCTTTGGCCAATAATAAATGTCTGCAGTGAAAAAAAATTAAATTTGATATATTTTACTATTTTTACAGCATCAAATTATTATGATGAGTTATGATTTGTCATTGTCTTAAGACCATCCACATAATAAAGTCACCCTATTTTTGCTAATATTTTTACCCACTCTCCCCCATCCTCACAAATTGGTGACACCCCCCCCCCCCAAACTAATTAATTAATATTGAATAAGAGTTTAAATAATGCGTGGTTATATAGTGTTTAAATCGTTTCAAATGACCATCCACATAATAAAGTCACCCTATTTTTGCTAATATTTTTACCCACTCTCCCCCATCCTCACAAATTGGTGACACCCCACCCCCCCAAACTAATTAATTAATATTGAATAAGAGTTTAAATAATGCGTGGTTATATAGTGTTTAAATCGTTTCAAATGTTATATGCATGGTCTAAACATTATTTAACATTACATTGTTTTAGAATTTTATAAAAACAGTTCTAGACTTAAATTTACAGGGCCACAATAGTATTATATTTAACCAAGTAATGTTTTCATTCATTATTCATCAATTCCATTTATTTCACAGAGAATTTCAATGACCCCATGAAGGCATTGTGGACGTTGATGTCCAGTAAAATAATGCACTCAAAAATTTTATCAGAGTTTAAGATATTGCACGTATTGCTATATAAAAGAACGGGGCAGTTAAGAAAAGCTAAATGCTTTCAACTATTAAAGCGGGTGAGTACTTCAGGTTATAGTTGTAATGTCAAAATTATTACACATTTTTTTTTTAATCTATGATCAGCAAACAGTGATATTACCAGTGACCGGTACTAAGAATGTTTTAAAAAAAATATATTTTAACCAGTGACCGGTACTAAGAATGTTTTTAAATTAAAAAAAATATTTTAACCAGTGACCGGTACTAAGAATGTTTTTAAATAAAAAAAATTATTTTAATTATGTAGTAACTAAACATTTGAATAAAAAAAATGCCCTCCAAAGGTGAGAAATGAAACTGAATAATTAATTTAAACTCTTGACAAAGTTATCAATAAGTTCAGTAAGATTATATGAGATTTATTGGAAGTATTAGGATACATTAACTAACACTTATCCTCTTCACGTATTAGGATACATTGACTAACACTTATCCTCTTCAAGTATTAGGATACATTAACTAACACTTATCCTCTTCAAGTATTAGGATACATTAACTAACACTTATCCTCTTCAAGTATTAGGATACATTGACTAACACTTATCCTCTTCATGTATTAGGATACATTCACTAACACTTATCCTCTTCAAGTATTAGGATACATTGACTAACACTTATTCTCTTCAAGTATTAGGATACATTCACTAACACTTATCCTCTTCAAGTATTAGGATACATTGACTAACACTTATCCTCTTCAAGTATTAGGATACATTCACTAACACTTATCCTCTTCAAGTATTAGGATACATTCACTAACACTTATCCTCTTCAAGTATTAGGATACATTGACTAACACTTATCCTCTTCAGGTTGAAGCCTGCTTAAAAAGGTGTGAAAAGTTTGACAAAGTCTTCAGCTTGATGGCATCACTCCACGATGACCTAACAAGGTAGAGAAAATAGAATGTTTGAAATTTGCTTTTCGTTAACTTTTACAAGTGCAAATATGTTTGACAAATAAATTTATGAGCCTACAACAAATAAGCATTGAATTTTTGTTCAGGATTTAATCCTGTGTCGGATGCATATATTTTTTTTGAAAGTTGGGGTAAAAAATACGGTAGTTAGATACGATAATTGTATTGTGGGTACGTAATAATGTTTTTGTCCTTTTTCAAAATTAAAAATGGTGTTAAGAACTCTTTGATGCAAGATACAATTTTTGCCTGACAGTGTCTAAGTATTAGCATTATTTTCATAATTTGCTATTAAAAAATCAGTGTTAGTAAACAGTTTTAAATTTAAATAATGGAAAGCTAGATACAGTACCAAACTCCCTCAAGAAGTATTTCTAGCAAAGATGTGATTGGTTTTATGGATATGTTATCCAGGACACTAGTCACTTCTTTATTGGCTGGTATTAACTGGTGCTCCAAACTAGGTAATTTCTTTGCTTTCTACAAACACAAATTTAAAAACGCAAAATTTTACGTGCATCTGTTGTTTTTTTTTACTTAACTCTCTGTGCTTATTGTAACTGGACTATTTCTAGACTTCATTTTTCATTCTGTGTCAAAGTAAAATATCAGGGGTCTTGTGCATCAACTTGTGGATCAACGTTAACTTCAAGACTTAGAATGTTTAGGCTCTGTATATTTGTTGAACAAACAGCTCGAGTAACTGCCACGATGTACACTTTTGATGTCTTATTTCAGTGCCAATGCTGACGTAGCAGCAGGCAAACCGGTTGTTTATCTACCGCCACAGCAGACCTGGTCGTATCTGCTTTACCTTCAAACAGTCTATGTCAAGCTACTAGAAGCCACAATTAGTTATTGTGTGTGTGCCTTTGAGTATCCTTTTTTTCTGAACTACTTCAAGAGATCATAACTCCAAAGCTATATTTTCATTTCGACTTAAATATACTTACTTATAAGTATAAGCTAGGACTTAGGAATCATTTCAAGTTATATATACTTATGAAAGTTATAAGCTAGGACTTAGGAATCATTTCAAGTTATATATATGCTTATGAAAGTTGTAAGCTAGGACTTAGAAATTATTTCAAGTTATATATACTTATGAAAGTTATAAGCTAGGACTTAGCGATACCCATGCTAAAGTTTTAATTAATTTCTTTGTCAGTCCTACTGTCTAATGTTATTTAGTTTTAATTGTATCTGCATATCTTAACCACCTTGGTAGACATCTTAGTAACCAGTTTGCATTAGGATGGTTAATTCCTTCTATGGTTTTATATATGACAGTGACTGCAAGAATATGGTACGAATTATTTATGAGATAACCACTACTCATTAAGACTATTAAGAGAAAATGATTATGTTAACTCTGAAAGGAGCCATTCCCACACGGACCGGAGGATTGAAATTTTATAATCTCATGATAAAGTTCATTTGAAAGCAGTAAGATTTATAATAAAGGAGACATATTGAAACACGTGGCTATGTATACAAAAAACCTGAATAAAAAATGTCAGTTTTCACTTTTCCAGCTTATAAACCCGTATGTCAGAGAAGTCAATTTAAACTTTCCCAGCTTATAAACCCTTATGTCAGAGAAGTCAGTTTTCACTTTCCCAGCTTATAAACCCTTATGTCAGAGAAGTCAGTTTTCACTTTCCCAGCTTATAAACCCTTATGTCAGAGAAGTCAGTTTTCACTTTCCCAGCTTATAAACCCGTATGTCAGAGAAGTCAGTTTAACCTCAGGTATAAAATGTTTCAAAATTTCTTGTATGCTTTCTGAAAATTAGAGTTCGATTCCATTACATCCTTACACAACCATTGTTTTAAAGATGGTCTCGCTATTAAATCTTTCAGGCTCCTCAGTGGACGTTTGTCTGAGAAGTTGGTTAAATTCTACAATGAACTCTACCCTTACAAGGCCTGTTTTGAGCGTACCAATTCCACATGGGTAATTAATTATGAGATTTTGATGACCATTACAGAATCATTTATAGATTGGATTCAGTCATTGTAATTTTGTTTCATTTAGATTTGATTTTGATATTTCCTCAGCAATGGTAAAAGATATCTGTAAAATTCAATGAGGGTAGATTGTCCAAAGGATTTAAAATGTACTATTTTGGTCTAGTTTGACCTGTTGACTGCAGCTAATAATATTGACAATCTGAAAGCAGCAACTGTTTTTTTCATGCCCAAATTTTATTTCATCAGCAAGAGCCGGAGCTTCCATCTAACATTTGCTGCACCTTTAGCATGAATGCTTCAAAGGATATGGAAAGGTAACTCTTTTAATATCAGTCTGTTGTTAGTTAACACTGATTAGGAATGTTTAATTAGAAAATTATTTTTGTTTCTTTATTCTAAATGCCGGTAGCATTCTTTGACAATGTTCTTTTCTAGTCTTATTGTTTGACATTTGTACACCATCATAATCGCGTGCCTCCCAAAAAGTAGAAAACTGGCACATGCTTACAGTTTTAAAGGTTTCTAATGATAATATCGGATAATAACAGGGCCACATCCATATAAATTTTACTGTCCAACATAATCTTTGTATCTCTTGTTACAGGGACATTTTATTTTTACTTAACATCTTTTGTTTTGTGTTTACTCTTCCTCGTGTCAAATACCGTATTCTCCAACAATGAAAAGTCATAATTTATGAGATGATCTATTTCAACTCAAAATATATGAGATGTGCTAAAACTATTTCCTGTTATTTTGATAAAAATGTTTTTTTTAAAAAGTATTTGTAATTGGGTGCACTGGGTTTCAATTTTGTCCAGGTTTTCTAAAGAAAGTTTGAATGACACCGCTAAGCCAGAGATTGTAACAGGCAAGCAAAGTGAACATGAGTTATGCCAAGATGAAGACTTTGGAGGTAAAAGTTCAAGCAGATCATCGCAGATTAGAAAATAGATAAATACTGGATCCATTATTTTTGTTCAATTGTACAATTCATTTATAAATACATTTAGTGAGTGAGCTTGGGTGTGTCATAAATTGAGAATGACGCTGTCACTGTCACGAATGTATGGCAAATAATTTAAAATGGCCTTTTTAATTGGCTGGCATAGTCAAATTTGTTAAATTCCACAAATACAGTACCGTATGCACCAAAATATCTAGTACTGAAATGAAAAGACTAATATAACATTTTAGCTGTTTCTGTAAAATAACATCCTTGTGGTCAAAACCAAGCGAGCTAGTTGACTGGTAAATAATTTAGCCGTCCGAGTGAATTGGACAGTTGTTAGAGAACCACACATTTATCTAGAAATGTGGATCTTTGTATCTGTACATTATCCGGGCTCCCATATCTGTTAACATTAGGTAAGCTGTATCAAGTATAGAAATGCACCTTTGTCCTTAAACATTTTGGAGTTCTATATGATATTGAGTTTCAAGGCCATTGTCCTAAGACATTCATTGAGGCTAATGCGGCCCCTGCCGGAGAACATGTGCATGATTCTCATTTGTTGAAACAGTTACCGCAAACCTGTTAACTCTCAAACCCTTAAAATCGTACAATATCATCACAAAATCGTTCAATGCCTTATATTTATACCCGGTAGTAAAAAAATAAACATACAGTGTATATAATGTATACACCTCAAAATCGGAGATTGTACGCCGAAATCGTAAGAGTTAACAGGTCTGTTACTGGCTGACCAGACTTTCCCTCAGCACACTACCAGACGTCAAAATTTCGTGGCAATAGACGGCATAACCCTGTCACTTGGTGCCGTCTTATTAAATCTTTTTTGGAATTGTCCTGACAACTTTTTCAAACTCCGCCCTCCCTTCACCACCATTTCTGTACCGGTACGAGCCGGAATGGTTCTCAAACTATGAGTACTTTTCTCATGGTCAAGATAGACATTACCATCAACTTCCTATTCACCACTGGGAACACATGGTGGCCAGCACTATGGCGGAGATGCATGAGTTTCAGTCTGTATAATTTGGTGCGTAACGTACATTGATTGGGAAATTAGCCGTAACACAGCCTTTTGGATTTTCTTGCCAGTCGTGCATGCAGTTATCTGATTTGACTCATTACATTTACCGAAACCAGTACTATTAGTACTATTTACTTATTCTGAAACTGTTCTTTTCTCTTTGTCCATTCAGTACCAGTCACAATTCAAAGAACGAAAGAAGAAACAGGCCGCTTCGGTGAAAATAAAAGAAAAAATTACGAAGAAGAATGCAAAGGAACTTCTAAACCTCCAGTGTTTAAAAAGAAGAAAACGAAACGAACTAAACAGACATCATCCAGTAACTTGCAAGCAGACGTGCAAAGGGAACCAAAAAAGAAAAAAACTGCCAGAGATGGTTCAGAACATAAAGAACAGAACAACAATGTTGAAGACGTCGGGGTGGTGAAAGAAGCAAAGAAAAGAAAAGCTCTGATTACTTCTGAAGAACGGGGAAGCACGCAGAAGAAAAGAAATAAGGAATCAGGCATTTCATTCAAAGCAGAGAAAGGACCTGCCAATGCGATGGACACAAAAACAACCAAGAAAAAAAAGAAAGCCAAAATTCCAGCTGAAACCCAAGGAGGCCTTGAAGTGGAGAAGAACCGAAGTCTTTCACAGGCAGACCAACAAAGTGCTCTTCAATCAGCCAAAGGAAAAAAACTTAAGAAGAAAAGAAAAAAGAAAAATAAATTGAATAAGAAATAAATATTAAATTGTTAAAACTTTGGTGAATGAAAAGAAAGTGAGATGACCACTACAGCTAAGGAAGTCTTTATCAGCCAACAGTTGCCAGTAACTAGGGCTGTTCAAAGTGTCAACCAAATTGATGAGCAGAAGGGGCCAATCCAATAGGTTGAAATAATGTTCCTGGTTTTAAATAAATGTCATGAATGCTCAGATGAAAAATGACACGGGAGGAGGAAGGATGTGTTGGCACAACTTTGGGGCAAAAAAAGCAATGTAAGTAAGTATAGTGACATCAATGGGACATGTTTGTTGACAGTGGCTGGAAGGTGGTGTTACTAAATGTGAGACTCCCCTCCCCATGGGGGGCCGTGGTTGTTGACAGTTGCTGGCAGGTGGTGTTACTAAATGAGAGACTGCCCTCCCCATGGGGGGCCGTGGTTGTTGACATGTCTGTTGACAGTTGCTGGCAGGTGGTGTTACTAAATGAGAGACTCCCCTCCCCATGGGGGGCTGTGGTTGTTGACAGTTACCGGTAACATAATGTGTATAAACATAGCATAGTATGGGCCAACATTCTCAAGGCGGTAGTGGTTAACAATAATGAATCTTGCATTATTTACTTAGAAGTTCATGATTTAGATCTCATATTATTAACTTTGGCACTGACGATTTCAGGAAATCTATTACTATTATTATTATATTTTTCCTCAATTATGCATTAGACTTTGACCTTGAATTCCATAAATTAATTAACAAAAAGTAAACAATCAATATTTGAATTTTACGTTTTAATAAATACATATTTTATATCATCATAATCAAATGAGTCACCATTTTGTAAAAAATATTCCACTTTTTTAAAATCAGGAATTTTCCCCAACCAGTAACTGTAACAATGTGAACAAAAGAGACTTAAAAAATATTGTCATCAAAACTCTAACCAATCCTTCATATAAACACATGTCTTGGGTGATATTAGACCATCTACTGTGCATCTGCTGATAACCTGGCGACAAAAACATTCATGAAAAAAATTGGAAATGGGGGAAAAAACAAGAAAAGATAATCTTAATATCCACAAATAATTATAGTTAGACACCAGTACTGGTCAAACAGATATATACACACACAAACAAGGATGATACATGAAGGTTTGTGTTCAAGTTTGTATGGAATAAATCATTGAACAAGTTACGCTAAACTTGAAGTGAAAGAACAGGATTATTAAAAGTGAATTTTTCTGTTGAAAGCATTCCTCAGCAGACAAGAAAAAACAAAGACATTAAAATGCGTTTAAAAACTTAAGTTTTAAGTGTCTATAGTTTGCTGTGTTGTAGAGAAATGGTTGGAGTGAAAGTGTCATATTATTGACGCAAGTGTCATATTATTGGCGCAAGTGCCATATTATTGATGGAAGTGCCATATTAATATTATTAATGGAAGTGACACAAGGGATAGCACTAATTTTCATTTTTTTAAATTTTATCACTAGCAGGGGCACAGAAAGCTCCTCCTGGGTTTTCAGACAGCCTGTACCTTTCCTCCCAATTCACCATCCCCTTTGAAATGTTCTAACTAAGACTTACTGGACAAACACCACACGGTGTCCTCACAAAACCTGATGTGTCAGACAACGGCTTCACAGCTCGGTATATTTTCACTGAAGAATCTCCTGGAGCCATCCCTTGCATCCCTGTTGTTTTGGCGGAGAGCTCGGCTTTCCCATCAAAAATGAGGGTATCAAGAATCGACTCCATGTCCTTCACAGATAAATTTACCTAATCAAATCAAAATTGTATTATAAGAAATTAATACCTTACATACTGGCATATACGTCACATATTTTAAAACCAAATATTTGATCAAATACAGGGGTGTGACCTATCCACTTGAAATTAATTTTGCGTACTTTCATTCAATGTGGAGAAGTCATTTATGCAAAACGTCGGAAATTGTTTTTTCCCTTACTTATGCTCGAGCAGAGGGCAATCAGTTTTTAAATCCTTATTTGAGATCCCATAGTTTATGACGGTTGCTTTTCAGTTTCAAGATGTTACAGAAACATTTTGGTTTAGAAAATATTCGGTTACATTTTTACATTTATGTTAAAAATGTGCCACGCAACTCTCCAAACTAAGGGTGCGACCTATCCACTGGAATTGTCTATCTACTGGTATGGCTTATCTACTGGTATGACCTATCCACTGGTGTGACCTATCTGTAGATCAACTGAAAATATCTACTTTGACAAACCCAAACTAAGAGTGCAACCTATCCACTGGTGTGACCTATTCACTGACGCGACCTATATGTGAGTATATACAGTACCGGTACGCAACTTATAACTTATTGATTCCTCAAATTCTTCAAAACTTTTTTTGTCTGCGGTACCGCAACTTTAACTTAAATTATTTTGTTAAATAGATCCACTATTAATACAAATTTCCCTATTGTACAGTTCATGACAATTTCGAATAAGTTTGGTAAAACATTTGTTTGTCGTGCACATTAACCTCCCCTTAAATATTAATAAAATATACTGACTAAATGCGACAACTTTAACTTTGGCAAATATTAAATGCAAGTTTGAAATGTATGATAAGAATAAACACAGAAAGCAACAACTTTGCTGACATTAAAACCTTTTGAAATGAGCCAACTTGGAATATTAGTGGATAATACCAGAGACCCATTTGAAGAAACAAGAAATGAAAGCAAGAATTGTAACCACAATGGCTGCATCAAAATATAGACGTAAGGGGCTACATGATTTTGAGTGCTCACACTACAACTTAGATGCACATTCTAAGGGGAATAATAACCGAAGCTACATTAATAACATTGGTTACTTAACATGAAAGTAACCGCATATTCATGAATAAAATGATTAAAAGCAGTGCTTGTATGATATTGATATCATCACGATTACCTTACTTATGCCCAAATTGGTAATGTATTTCAGTACATCTTCGGCTGAAGCATAGGAAGCCTGAAGTCTTGTCCATGGCTCCTCAGGGTACACTTTATTTGCATCCACTACCTGAGATGGATTGGCGTATGAATCAATATCATTGTAATATTTAAGTAAAATAAAAATATATTTAACTTGTTAATAAATGTTAACATACAAATAGTGACTTTATAAGATTTTTTAAAACAAAAATGGGTGATGCAGAAATGTACATCTAATGGATAAACTGACAGCATAAAATTTGTAACGTTATAAATTTTAAATATGACAGCTACCCTTTGTTGTAAGAACTTGTGAGCTTGTGCGTTGAGGATTTCAACAAACTCTGACTCGAACTCTGACGCGCTGTACCATGGCCCACCCGTCACGGACTGATCTGGCTCAAGGTTGTACAGCATGTACACCTTTTTCTTGGAGGCCTGAAATGGTAAGTGCAATATTCTCTTTTGTGTACTATATTAAGAATTATAGTTTTTTCCCTAGGGTTGAAGTCACAAGCTTGTGTGCAGTATTATAGTCAGGCAAAATGCCAGATTTACGAGGCTCTTGAAATCTTGAAGAGGAAACAAAAATTTAAAAAAAAACAAAAAACAACTAAACCACTGAAGTCAGCAGGCAAAAAAAATTAATTCTATATGTTACCCTGGTAAAAAAAAAAAAATGGAACAATAAAGCATCCATCTCCTACTGGTACACATTATGGCCATGTTGGCAAAGCATTAGGAATTTGATTTTTTTCTTTGCATTATTTTACCTATAACATTGAATATAAAGCCTCTAACCCTAACTGATGTTTGTCCTAGATTTCCCTCCAGCAAACTCTAAATCTAAATAATAAATACCAAAGCTAAAATGAAACAATTTTTGTACAAAATGCCCAGTAACTTGGCGGTTTATGGTTTAAGTCACGTTGACCAACTTGACCGCTTTAAACATGCCAGATAATACTTTAAGTGACTCACAATGACCACTTTAATCTTGCCAGCTGATAGTTTAAGTACCCGGTAACTCACATTGGCCAACTTGACCGCTTTAATCTTGCCAGCTGATAGTTTAAGTAACTCACATTGAACAACTTGACCGCTTTAAATTTGCCAGCTGATATTTTGAGTAACTCACATTGACTGACTTGACCGCTTTAATAAGCTTTTTGCTCTCCAAATTTTTCAGGATTTTGTTGAGCACTTGAATATTTTTCAAATTGCTCTTGATGCGAATATCTCTTGTCCATATTCCTGAAATTTGTGTGAATGATAGATAATGAGAAAAGTACCTACCAACACTCATTAATAAGTAATACTATTAAACTACTTTTTAAACTACTTGGGATCACCAAAAATGCCTGCCAAAGTAAAGGCACCTGATTAAATAGGAAACATAAATGCTCTGTAATATACACATCAAAAATTACATACCGATACACTTAGGAAAGATTAAAATTTCAATTGAATATATATCATAGTAAAAATCAACTGATTTAATAATAATGTCTTAAATCGTACCCTACCTACCTTTATTTTGTGAATCTTTGATGATCTGGAACACAACCTTTTCCTCGGTGTCAGCACCTTTGACCTGGCTGATTTTTGAAAAAAAAATAGATTTCAATTACCGCATATTTAAGAGCTTCAGGTTAATAACAAACATTGTTAAACATTTAAAAAAATAATAATATAAGTAGTCCATAATGATAAAAAAGATAATTGAATTAAAATAAAATTTAATTACCTTGCTGAATCGGGGTCTTTTAATCTATAGAGTATCTTGGTTCCACTTTTCAAAAGTTCCAGTCGATTCTAAAATGAAGAGTACCAATAATAAAAAATATTTGATGTTACAGGTATAAAAATTATTAAAATTCAGTTATAATATTCAAAAATATTTTTATTTTATTTAAAAGATTATATGACTTTAATTTGTATAAAATATTGAAATGATTTTAAATAGTATCGGTTAAATATAAAAACTCACTGTGGAAAGTAGCCTATTAACAGCTATGACCCTTTGCTGGATATCAGATTGAGGTATTGCAAGTTTGATGACATCATCAGATATTCCTTTAGGATTTTGTCCACATAATTCAATAATCCTTTAAATATTTAAAAAAAAAAAAAACTTTATTTCTTTGAATAATTAATTTGTTTCAATCAACCTCGTCTAAAACATTTTTAAAAAATAATTAATTTTAGAGCTGCAATGAGCACATCAGACAACAACATTTTCATTATTGTAAACAGCCTATAAATATAATTATAATTACTATAATAATAACTTCAAAGCATGGAGAAAACTATGATGTCACTTTCAGAATTATTATATTTAATTTTAATGTACTAAAAGATGTGTATAGAAAATAAAAAGCCTATTGCCAATTGCTGCAGTAGTTAACATTGGGGGGGGGGGGGCGGGAAGAAGCATTTTTATTAATACGTAAGCATTAAGCATCTTTCAAATTATTGCATGGAGCATCAGTAATTGTCAGTATCAGTCATCAGTTCAGCGGATCCTGGCTATGGGCTATGCTGGCTAATGGTTATCATGCCAATCATGGAGAGTGAGAGAGGTCCCAAAATGGGGAAGGAGGGAAGATTTAACTTTTTTAGCGGAAACGTTTACATAAGTATTTTGTAAAATAATCAGCCAATAATCATTAAATCTGAACACATATTAATATATTGTTTTACTACACATTCATATTGTTTGTGAGTTAAGTGATTGACACTGATTGTTACTTGAACTTGTTTTGTGTCTAACATCGCAGTCCAACACTAACACACTTATAATTAGTAAACTTTTTTAGCGAATTTAATATAATATATATTTTTTATTATATATGGATGGCCCTTAAACAGACCTACTGCAGACTCTTTACTACGGCTAACTTTGCCAACAAATAGTAAATTACTTTGCTTCGATATCAATTTCTTCGGTAGGTTCTTGCTTTATAATGGGCGCCGCCATTTTTATTTTGGGCCGGAATACCACTAAATACCGTAAGTTTCTGAAACCTTCAAAATGATACAGTAGAAGCTGATCGGCAGTAGGCGCCGGATGTGTTTTCTTAAGGAAAAACGTGAACTGGATCCATTCACTTTTATCTGTCAAAAAATAATTACAGCTGGAGGCTACAAAATAAAAAAATAAATTAAATGCTAATTTCTAAGAAAAAGATAAAAAAAACAACAACAAATAGCTAGGCCTTTTCAAAAACAAAAATCTAAGTTAAAAAATTATATTAATATTTGTTATACATATAAAACGAGGGGGGGGGG